AATCCTGTAAGTGCAGTTTGCTTCCATCAATCACTGAAGTTTTGGCAACTGCAGGAAAATGTGATTGGAATTAATGCAGGAAATAATCCATAATAAATTCAGCAGCCCACACACACTATGCACCGGGCTGCTACTGCACATACACTGTCAGCTACTTAAGACTTCCACCCCAATAATTAATTTGTATGGTGGCCAAATCGAGGCTGAAGGGGAGAAACGTGCAGCACACGACTGCTGCATAAAGTCAATTAAAGTCTGAGGGGTCAATTATTTTGCAGACGTTTTCACACTGCGAGAAGTGCACAGCCATCAGTTACTGTGTACTGCTGTAAGCTCCGGATTTTGGACTTTAAACTAATGTTTTAACACAATTTACGACAACTGATTGTGTGATAACAACTAGACCAAGTAGAGAGGGGGAAAAAAACAGAACAAAGCCCTGAAAAAGTCAACGTGCTAATGAATATTAAGGGTTGCACAGTTTTGAAGCAGCTCAGCTGACAGCTCTGACTGTCGCAAGAACAAAGACAGGGATACGTATTGTTGTGATTTATTTTTCTTAATTTGGAAGAGAATAAAAAAAGATGACAAACTTCAAAACCTCCAAGTCATCAAGACTACTTATAACTCTACTCAAATGGTTTCTAGGTTATCTCAAAGGGAAATTGGAGAGGTAAATGCTCTCAAAGCATAACACTAATTTCAAACATTTATTCATTCCCTTTTTACCACGGGTCAGGGATTTGGGTTATTTTTCCTATATCAGAGTAAAACATATTATCAACAAGTTAAGATACCACAAAGCAAAAAACAAAACTAGATGTATAACATACCTTAATGAACATTTCAGACTGCAGAACTGTCTGCAATAAAACTCTTAGGTAAGAGATGAACCAAACTACTCATTATAATAAGCAAACCAAGATTAAACTACTACATTGAGGCCAAAAAGAGTAACAACTAAAAAAACCTTCAAACATACCCAAGATCTTCCGCTTTAAAAAAACAAACAAAATTGCAAATATATTTAAGTGAGGATTATAAATATATGTTGACCCCATTGCAATGGATCCTAAATGTTTGCAGTGTTACACAAAGACAGGCCTAGTCTCAAACCCCTCATATCTATGTTAGTATCATTCTACAGAAGTGAAACAAATCAAATGTAATTGCCTTATTCAGGGGGAAAAAAATTAAAATACATTTACTTTGTTGTCCCCCACTTTTGCCCCACACCCTGAAACGCCCCCCGAAACCATTTTTTTAGTCATTGTAAGGTGTCCTTGGGTGAGAAAGGTGCCTGATATAAAATTTATTATTATTATTATTATTATGCGTTGACGTATATTGTGTATCGCGCTTAAAAATATTTTTAACGGACTTTTTTTAAAGTTGCACAACTGTTGCAAAAATTCTGTTCAACGTTTCTAGACTGTAGCCCTACGGCTGACATCACGTCCTGCCGTCGTGACGTCATCTGACACCTGACCGAGAAAACACATGCTGACCCTTAAACTGTCAAACACGGGAAGATGTGAGACGCAGGAAAGCTACAAGAGTTTGTGGCAGCAGTCTATGAATTATGCATACGCCGAACGTCCTCTAAACGCTTGTTATTTAGTAAGAAGAAAGTGGAGAGGAGTAAAAAGTCGATGTGTGCTGGCTGCTGCGTTTGACAGCTGAACACAGCGACCTCTGCTCATCCTAAATGTCAGACATGACTGCAGCACAGCTCGACCTTCTGCTGGGGGAGAACAAACTTTGTTCCAAACGCCTGGTTTTATCTCAGTTTTACTGCTCTTGTATGTTACGACACGTATATCTGAGTAAGCCTGGCCTCTGTTAGCTTCAGCGGCTGTATTTTTTAACCAGACAACGTTAGAAAGTGGGCGTTAAAACGGTGATTGTTACCTCCGCTTGAAGTCCCGCTCGTAGGGTTTGAGGTAAGGGTCCATTTGGAGAAGGCAGCTGAACTCTGGGATTGAAACATTATCCTCCGGGTCTGCCATACTTCCTCCAGACAAGAGCAATCGAGCACCGGCTGCTGCTACTGCTAATGCTGCTGCTTGAATGAGAGTGCTGTGTTTGTGTGTGCGTAGGATCTCATTGTGTGGCGACAACAGCGAATCAGCCGCTCTCTTTCATGTCCGTCCCATCACCTCACGTCCAAAGTCAGGTCAAAGATTAGGGGCTGTGACACGATGTGTGGGTATTTACTTATAGTAAAGCGTAGAAATAATATATTTTTTATAATATACATTAACTATGCAGCAACTTGTTCATCTGCAGGGATGCAAGCATTTGCAAAAATAAAAAATAAAAAAAATCCAGTGCTCAAAGCTGTAGAATGTGTATAAAACACTCATACTTTAATTACAACTCTATAGACTTAGATTTAAATATCACTACATAATGAGTTATTTTGGTCTTAACTACGTGACATTTCTTGTTTTATTACTGTGTAATATGGAAATATATGGAAACTACCACTTTTATACTTTTTTTTATACTTCTAATGCTTCTATCTCATGTCCACAGGAAATAGGATTTCTACCACACATTTGGTAGCAGCAAGGGTTAGCAGGATTAGCTAATACAAACATAGATGTCATATATTATTTAGGGTCTTAATTATTGGAATAAATGCTTTTTTTGTAGGTAGGTAGCTAATTTTATGGAAAGCCGATTTATATTCATGACATTTAAAGATACATTTATTTAAAATGTTTTTATCCATTATTTATTCCATTATTTTGGCAACCCCATTCGAATCCCAGGCGACCTGTTGTAGGGTCGCCAGCCAACAGTGGGAAACACCGTTGTAGACTGTATGACATGAGACTGTGTTGATTTAAGTTGATAATCATGATGTAAAAAGTTTACCATGCATTAGCAGACGCAACATGAGCCAAGTTTATATTGATTTGGTCAAAGTTCTTTCTTTTGCTCGAGGTTATTTGAGGTTAAAGACAAATAAATGTGTAAATTAGTCTGTCTACCAACGGAACTGCAGACTAACCGCTATGCTATGGACCTGAAGACATGTGCTGCGTGAGTGTTGGTAAAAATAAGTGAACAGAATGGCCGTTCAAAGTGCTTTGTGTGGTTGTTATGGCTGGTAAGTCCTACATAAGTACATGCCATTAACATGTAAAACCAGGAAATGGTTAGCCCTTATTTTAGCAAAGAGCTTATTGTGTTGATATGTTGATGTGTAGCTCTGCATATGTCCATCTCAGAAACGATATGTTCAGCCAGCCCTCCATGTGGAGATTGTCCAGGGCCAGACGTGGAATAGAACAGAAGCCAAACGTAGTTATTGTCTCGAAGTTTACAGTATTTATCATGCTGTGTAGCTTCATTAGCCAAACCAAAATCAGTTTATTTTAAATAGCCAAAACCCTCCTGGAAATAATATTAAACTGCTGTATGCTTTTTCTTAACCCCAGTGTACAGGACACTTTTTATTTAACTTTGACATCTTACTTTCTACTCTTCAAAATTACAAATGAAAAAAATGTTCAATTTAATCAATTTTCTACTTTCGACTTTTAAGGACTTTGATTCTGGTCAATACTAACCATTTATTACAATATGTTTTGTGTACTTCAGTGAACGTATGTTGGGGCTTAAATTGTGTTTTGAATGATTTTTTGCTTTTTAGCTAATATTGCTATATTCACTGCATGTTTCATTGACTTGCCTTTAAAACAAGACCTGTAAGAAAAACACATTTTTAAAAATACCACTACAAAGGTGAGTGTTGCTACAGAATATACATTTGAGTTGGCATAGGTGAGCTCTACACATAACAGGCCCAAGTCCCTGATATAATAATTAAAGGTCAATTTCAAATTTTTAAGGGTATTCCATCTTAAGCCCCCCGTCACGTTCACATTGATATGACGTTATTGTCAGTGGCCTCCATAACTTTCATCACAAACTACTTTACTGAAGTGGCAGGACTGTCCTAATGGACTCCAGACAGGTAACCTTGCAATAATTTACATCAAATCCTTCTCCAAAAGGCTGATAAATAAAATATGCACACTGACTGAAGGGGGGGTGCTCCTGAAAGGGCTGTCCTTGTCACTGAATAAAACTGTCCAAACTAAAGGTCACAGTGTAAGTGCCATTCTGTTGAGCTGTCTGCCTGTAATAGACGGGACAAGTGTGTCATGGTCCGTCCCACAAAGTTATGCTAACAAAAGTTTTTATCATTGGAAAGACATTGAACCTAGAGACAAATTGGATTTACGCTAATGGGCATAGAATTGACAAAACTAAAGCAGACTAAAGTCAAAGACGAAGTGGAAATGTTACTGACAGATCTTTATTTCCTCTCAACCAGTCACTGAGCACAGAATGGTTTGCCCTCAAACTACTTCTGTTGTTTGTGAGTGGCGATTATTTATGTCAAACCAGTGTTGAATAATTTTGGCTTAAGCATAAACAAGTATAAGTTATTAAATAAATAAGTAAATAAATATATATTTTTTCAGAAAATTGCCACATTATGTGTGATATTTAAAACTACATTACATTGTCTGGTAACTTACTTTAACCTTTATTTATTAGCCACAGGACAAAGACATAATCAAGGGCCAAATCAATAAATCAGTGATAAAATATTGGTGTAAGACAATCAGAGATAAGAAGTGAGTTGGCACAGACGCGGAAGGTGACGGCGTCGACTTGTGTCGCTCACATCGAAGAAACATTACCAGAATCTTCCTTCTTGGTTTTAGCCTCTATTTATTTGAGTCTACCACCAACAGAAAGACACTCACTGAGTGCTTTCACAAAGGTGAGCACCAGAATGGATGTTATTCATGGTGGAACTTCTGTGGAACCTTGTTGGTCTACATGTGCGAATAAAAAAACAAACAAATGTTTTAATCAAAACAACAAAGTAAAATACAATCCACACATCAGTGGTGTGAAAAGATAACTGACACAAATGGCGCGTCTGTTCAACATGAATGACATCATTGTACTTTTGTGCTAAGGTGTTATCCTGTGAAGTAAGTAACAGATCGTCTTGTCTCCCTCAT